CATTCTGTCCCTTGGAAATCTTAATAGTCTGAATTGCCCATCTTCTCTTTCCTTTTAATATTTTGCATCTTGCTTATTTTTTGCTCTATATTCTGGATCATTGACTTCATCTTTTAAAACTTCTACTGAAATTTTTAATTTGACAATCATTTCTAAAACCAAAAAGCTCTTTCTTATTCTCTGATTGTTCCTTTTGGCTAGCCAAATTATTTTAATCTCTCCCCTTACCCATTTTGGTAGTTCTCCAGTTTACTGCTACCTTTCTGTACTTCTTTTTTTTTTTTTTTTAATCTCTAGATTGTAAACACATGGCTAGCTTTTGCCAAGACTTGAAAGGCAGAAGTAAAGTTCTTGAGACCACACAGCCCAACTAGTAATTACAGTTATAAAGTTTTTGGTTTTTCTGCAGCAACGATAGTGGAGGCACTGATGTCTAATCCCTAGCTTCTTGAGCGACTTACAGGGATTTCCTCTGGAAAAATCTCAGATATGAGTGAGCAGTTTTCCTGAGTGCCTCACTTTAGAGTCAAAGTTTGATACTGTGGCCTTTCTAGACATTCTGTCAGCTAACATATCCTATAATAAATCCCTTTATTCTTAGAACCAGCCAGAGTGATTCTCTTGTCCAATCCAATGCTGACAGATAACAAGGAGTAAACTGTTCTGTGTTCATACCTTCACTTATTCTCCCTTTCTTCAGCACTTTCCATCCATGTTTGTTCTGCTAGCAGTTTGTCAAAATTTGCCGATGGCCCCATCTTCATTTTCTATTACTGTGTAAATAATTACCACAAACTTAGTGGTTTAAAATCTTTTTATTAGCTCTCAGGTCAAAAGTTGAGGCAAGCCTGAATGGGTTCTTTGATCAGGGTATAAGGCTAAAATCAAGATATTAGCCAGTTTGTACTCTCATCTGGAGCTCTGGGGAAGAATCTGATTTCAACCTTATTCAAGATGCTGGCAAATCTAGTTCCTGTTGCTATAGGTCTAAGGTGTTCATTTCCTTTCTAACTGTTAGCCAGAGGCTGCTCTCTTCTTCCAGAGGCTCCCAGAATTCCTAGTCAAATGGCCTCCTCCATCTTAAAGGCTAACAAGAGATTCATGCTTCAATTCTGACCTCTCCTACTGTCACCAAAGAAAACTCTCTGCTTAATTGATTAGTTGATTCTTTAAAAGGACTTGTATGATTAAATTAGGATGACCCAAATTATCTCCTTTTAATTAACTCAATTAACTGATTAGTAACATTAATTGCATCTGTAAAGTGTTTTGGTCATGTAACATGACATTCACAGGAGAGGGAATTATACAAGGGCAAAGGTCATTGGGGTCATTCTTAGAATTCTGCCTTTCTCAGCTCTCTCTAGTTCTCTTCAATATCAGAAGTTTTAATTTTTTATTATTATTTTCATAGGCTCTTCAGATGAAAGAGGAGCTGACATATCTACTCTGGCATCTTAAACTAAATCACACTCATAAATCACTAAGGTGTTCTAATCGCACTCACAGTGGTTTGCAAGTTTATTTATGTTATACTTGGATGTGCAAAAAATTGAAGTATGTTTGATCCAATCACCTTTTCTAGTCACCACTCCCCTTGATCACGAGAAAGACGGGGGAACAACTTAGTAAACTAAGTTTAGTCTGATTTAATAATTAAAATCTTTTTACTTAAATGGTGTCTATTGCCAAAGAAAAATTTCACTGGACCGAATTAAACAGGCAAGAAAGACTTCATTCAAGATGATTCCAGTAGGAAGATTGACCTCAACTATACTGAAACAAAAGTTGGGAATTTTGAAGCCTGAGGAGGGCCAGTGGAAATATACTAGAGGACAATGTGATTAGGCCATCTGTGTTTGCTAATTGGTGACTATGAAAATTAGGCTCCACACTGCCACAAAGACTGGAAGATAGGGGCAATATTTTTCTTGATGACTCTATTTCAAATTCTTGAGAAAGACATTACTAGGTTATAAAACTGGCAAGAGACTAGAAGAAGATTTACATCTCAAAGGGGCAGAGAATTTATAATCAAAAGTTTTTTAAAGTAAATGCTCTAAGAAAAGAGAGTTCAGGAACTTAAAATTGGAAGAAACTTGTCTAAAATTTAGACAGCTGAGAGGAATGTTAAGGCTGCCTTAGTCATTTATTAAGTCATTTATTAGCATTTCATATTTCTACCCATCCACTATTTCTCTCCAAAAAAAGTATTTGAGTGCATGAGGAAATGAAAGCTTAAAATAACCATACGTCTGATGACAAAAGATGAGGACCTTGAATTTACACAATGCTCCCTGGATTCTTGCTGGTCACGTCTGCAGTGTAGCCAGTCTGAAGTACTCCCTGTTGGTGACCACTGAGTTGTAACTGGCCCTATTTGATTTTTTTTTTTTAATAGAAGGGGTCATGTTGGTGCCTCCCACTGGAGTCTTTGGTTCTGTTTCCTCCAGTCTTGAAGTCATTGAGTTCTGCATCCTCTTTGTCAGACACACATTGCCTTTCTTTCTTGTCCATTCTCAGCTGTCTAAATTTTAGACGTTTCTTATAAACTCCATAAACTCCTATATTTATTGGATATCTTTGATCCTTGAGAATCGAGGTATTATATGCAGTTCACTTACCTGTCTTTCTTCCACTGGACCTCTGCACATCGCTTACCATGCGTTAGACAGGGCACCAAGCCAAATATAAGCAATCTCCACACACACACACACACACACACACACACACACACACACCAGGTGTTCTCAGTCTTCCCAAATCCATTTCTGTGTTTCAATCAATCCCTCCACAAACTCCCACCCTTACTCCAGTACACACACACTCAAATGAGAATGGCAGTTTACTTTTTCACTGACTTCAGCTGCTCTTCTTCCCATCTCCTCAGGCCATTCTCCCAGACAATTCCAAGGTCCAATAGTCTAGGCCCAGGTTTTATATCTTAATCTGGAACTATAGTAATTTGTTGATTCTTGTCTTTCACAACTAAATTGTATTGCTAAAGGGGCTAAGAGATAATTTATGAAATGCAAAGCTTATCAATGACTTGATTCTAGCTCTAACCACTTTCCTCTTCCCTGGGGCAATACGCTTCAAAATATAACTTGGAGAGGAACATTGTGAATTTAAGAGAGAAATTTAATTCCCTAATTTAATATTTGCAAACTATTACCCCTGTTACACACTCTTAAGAGATGAAGCAGACATGTGGGATAGTCGCCTGGCTATAATGTTTTTAAAGACTTAATTGACAGATACAAAAACAAATGTCTTACAGCTAGACTGAAGTTCTGTCTAGCAATCTGTGCTTTCTCTTTTTAATTTCCATGAAACCATGAATATTGCTACTTTTATCATCCTCCAAACTGGAATTTATGAACCATATTCAATTTACATATGGCTATTGTGTCTTAAACATGTGACCTTTCTGAAAATGATGTTTATCACTTACACATGGAGTATCATTATCTAATTATAAGTAAAATACAACAGTTTTACCAATTATTTGCTTTTGTTTTTTAAAGCTCTCTTCAAAGTAATTCTTAAAGAATTCCATATACTTTCTATATAATATATATGGAGCTATATTATATATGGAGATATATGAGATATATATTCTGTATACACATATGTATATACATATACATATACACATATATGAAGAGAGAGGGAGGGAGGGAATGGTGGTGAATAAAGTGCCTTCACTCTGAAACCTTACTCATCTTGTTATAAAGTGTAGATTGTCATTAATTTTGAGTTTTTAATTAAAAATATTAAGTGAACTCAATGTATAATTTCTTCTGGTTTCAATATGAGGTTTTTCCTAATGTATAAGGTCTTACTTTGTAAAATTGGGAGTATGGTAGTATACATGTTAGTTATTAGTCAGAGTAGGAGAGTAGAAATAAAATTTAGTAAATTAAAACCTTAAGACTAGGACTGGATGATGTTTATTTGGATATCTCACATGTGAAAGCTGTCGTCACCATCATCTTCTTTCATATCATGGCCTTTTGGCCATTTTCTCTCTTGCTCTTGACAAAATCTAGTTGTGGCTTCCACCCATGACAATACAGGACAAATAGCCTCCAACTTTATGTTACCAGGTGCCTATTTCCTGATTCCAGTTTCTTAGAGAGATTCCAATCCAGCTTCTTTACTTGACTCATAATGTATTACAGCTCTCACCCTAGAATGTAATAACAAAGCTCATACACAATTCAAAGTATTGGGACAGTATTGCATACCTTGAAAATCTTATTCCTTAAATAGGGATTTGTAAATTTAGAAGGCATAGAGTCAATGGATTCCATGCTCCCCCTTAACATCCATCCTTACCGAAACATGCAATTTAGAGATGCTCCCCTCACTTTAAGACCCCCCAACACACACACACACACACACACACACACACATTCTGACTTAAGAATCTTGCTTCCTAGGTTAGATTCCTGTCTTCTACATCTTTGATCTTCACCCCAGCGACTCGCTCAGAATATGCACATAGCAAGCAATTGGGAAATGTTTGTAAAATATTGTTGAATGTCAACAATCACTCTTGGCTTTAAGATAAAAAAAAAAAAAAAATTAAGAAACAGGATAATTTTAGCATCCAGAGCCCAAACTGAAACCAGGTTGTACGACTGTCCTCACACACCAGAATTCAGCCGCCCTGCCTGCGAAGAACCAGCTGAAGGAACGCGAGAGATTTGACAGCTATGCCTTCGGCCGCCAGTTTTTAAATCGGCCAGTTGGTTATTGGAAACACTCCTCAGTCAGGGGCTCTGCTTCAACAAGGACTGGAGACTGGTGCCAGTTGCGAAACCGACACTCGATCGCACCTTTGTCGCCAGCTCTAACTGCGCAAGGCACGCCGGGACACCGCAGATCTCTATAACCGTCACGATGGCAACCGGCGTGCACGCGGTTGTCATGGAGACCGGCGGGCGGCTCCGAGGGCCTCGTTGAGGGGCCGCCATTGCCCACACCCAGACAGGATGCTTCGTCGAGGCTCTAAGGCCTCTGAAAGGCGAAGACACTTGAGCGACCGCCTCAGCTGTCAACAAGACCAGGCGCTGAGCAGCAGCATCTACCTCCTAAGAGAGATAGGTCCTACCGGTGCTGAGGGAGGAGGAGCCGGAAAACAAGGATTTCCGAGTAACTATCGCCTCGGCTCCCGCAGGGCCGGCAGCTCCTCGGGTCCCCGCCCCCACCAACACACACACACACGCACACACTTTGTCTAGCCACCCTCGCAAACCCTGCGGCTACTCGCTGCTGCACCCTACCTGAAAGTGTTCCGGTCTCTACGGGTGTGCAAATTGCAGACAGAAATAGTATTTGTTATAAAAGTTTCACTACTGGAGTTTAGGACTCAAAATTGCATCCAACTGTTCTACGATGATGGCCCTTTATCTTTGGGCTTGAAAAAATGAGACGTTTTATATGAATGTGTGGTTTACGTTACGTGCGTTCTTGGATCCGTTGTTAGCAGTCACTACCATTGTAACTAAAACGAAATGAAAATTCTAGACTTTACTGTATATATTTGCTTAATATATAAAATCGGTTTTTCTTTACTCTTTAGTCACTCACACTATAACAAGACTCTTTTATAAAGTATCATTTAAATGGTGATGACTTGGAAAGGTCTTAACAATTTCTTTTAAACTTTTGCTCAAAGACCACAGATATTTCATATTTGCATATTCTACTTTCACCCCTCGAAAACCAGCCATCGCACTACCTCCCTTGAATTGACTTGGAAATTTTTAATTCAGTGTCATGCATTTTAAATGCTGAATACAGATTACTAACTGTGCTTATTTAAGACATCCCTTTTTTACTTTGTTGCTTACAACACTTACTGTATTTAATAAATAGTTTACACTTGGATAAAATTAGTCTTCTTGAATAAGATTGAATAAACTTACCAATTCAAGTGCACAAAACAAATATCACTCCAAGATGAGCTACCCTACAAAGGTCTTTAGCTTCATTACAAGGTAAAATTTCCTTTTAGTAAAAAATTTACAGATTTTTTTAAAGCTTTTAAAGTTAGATTTCTTTTCACTTGTCTGAATATAGGTCACTTAGAAATAATCATAATTGACAATACAAGTTGACTAAGGCAAAGATATGGAAGTGAAAAACCATACTGGTGTCAAGAATTAAGAAGTCCCAGTAATTATATTCAAACTTTTAGAATCATCTAAACGAAATTACCTCTTGAAATCTCTTTTAATCTAATTACCTATCAATTTAGTTTTACTCTAAAAATTAACTGGAGTATTTTTTAAGTATGCATTTTTCTTTTAAAGGTTTTTCTAGGAAATCCTCATGTTTGTAACTGTTCCACATTTCAGAAAGGAGGGGAACTTTGTAAGCATATATGCTGGTAAGTGACTTTGTAATGGAGATCCTTCACAAAGGAACATCTTGTTATATTACATATTTTGCCTTTTCGTGGTTTGAATACTGCAAAACTAAAGAAATTTGGTTTGGAAAAATATTAAGATAAAATGGTCATAGCTTATCCATATACGTTTAGGTATTTTATTTCATTACAAAAATTAAGATTTAAGTTGGAAAACACTATCACCTCTACATGTTCTGAATGTTAATGTTTTTAATAAGAAAAAAATCAAGTTTTAGATTCTCATTATGTACAACGTGAAATCAAACTATAACACAGGGGGAAAAAAACTTCCTATGAGGTTCATAGTTATCAATGATGTGAATCAGGAAGTTTTATATATATATATATAAATTTATAAATATATATAAATTTAAATATATATATAAATTTATTGTTTTCTTTTTCAATAAACATATGACAATGAGGCTTTCAAAATAGAAGTAGGACTTTACTGAAGATTACTTTTGTCAAATATGAAATTTTTCCTCTGGTGTCAGACTCTATTTGTAAGGGAATCCCAGAAATGAAAAAAAAAAAAAAAATTTGCATTTAGTTTATTTCAATTCATTTTGTTTACCTACTATACACTTATACCAATAAATCATTAATTATATTATAGAAAATTCATAATTGATATTTGAGAGGAAAATATCAAACAAGAAATTAAGAAAAGAGTATGTATCTCATATTTCTAATGCTTTTCTTTCCAGGTTAAAAAACTGTATCTGTTATTGCTAATGCTTTTATTTACCAAATTTTTTGTTGTTTCGATAAGTTTTTATTGACCATCTACTAACATGTTATTTGCTGTAGTTAATATAAAGATATAAAATATGGTCCTCTCAAAACTCGCAATTTGGTATTATTATTGTACTTAAAATAGTTTTTTTCTATTTTTAATTTATGCCAGCTTCCTCAGGGTAAGGGCATTATGTTCTGATTTTTATGTAATGTAATTCTATTTTACTGTACAATAATCACGTGGAAATATAATCCAAGTATTTAATATACTAAAGTATACTTAATATATTTAGTAAAAGTAATATATATGTCCCACTCTAAAAATAGCCATATCCTATTTTAATTGATGATATTTGAAAATATTTTTTCTGTCATTCATTAAAGTGGTACATATAGGAAAACAGTCATTTCTATTCAGAAAATTACTCCATTTCTAGGAGTGGGAAACTAACAGAAAAGTTAAAGTTCATGAATACCTAAATTCCCTCACTAACTTCGCTCTATGAAGACTTTATGTCATAAATTCATGGACTCTCTTGCAAATCTCTTTACCGCAAATGTGTTATTTCCATTTATCATAATTTTTTTCACATATGCTTATTGTAAAACATAAATTTAACTACTATTTTAACAGAAAACTGGTAAAGGTTTTAAGTTCATCCCTACACATTCAGCAATATAAATTCTATAATGCTATTCCTATTCTAAAATTAAAATAATATATCTTTTGAAGTTATGTCAAAATAAATGTTTTGTTTTTTCACTTGTGAATAATAGGATCTTGTTGAAAAAATTCAAGCTTCCAAGGAATCATGAATGTAAGTCATATGTTTTGTTTTGTTTTGTTTTTTACTAATATGAAGTTAACAAGTTTAAAAATTTTTTATTTAGACATGTTCTAAATGTAGACAGTTATTTTTCTAGACAATTTGACAACCATTTGTAGCCCAGTTTTTTACACTTAAGACAATTAGAACATGTTTCTTCCTATTTAATAAAAAATAAATGTAACTTTATATACCATGTTCAGATTCAGAGACACTTAATAAAAAAAAGAGGTGAAACAATGGCTAGTTATGAAGTAGAAAAAAATTCTCTCGTTTTCTAAGCAAAGATTCACAGTACTTTCTACATCTAAATTATTTTTATTATGAGAAAAATAACAAATGTAATTTTTTAGATCCCAGAACTAAACGTTGACATGACACATAATTTCATTCAAAAATGCTTGTGGCTAAAATTTTTATGCAAAAAAAGTATATTTTTTAGAGTACAGTAGTTTTTAAGTCACTACTACAATTGAGTTTAAAGCTGGGAGTACAGTTGTGTAACTTTAAGTTCTAGAGTCCTCAAAAATAAAAGAGAGAGAAAAATAATTTATTACAGGTCATTTAGATTTGTACATTTTGTAAGAAAGATGCTGTCATTATGGAAGTGTTCCCTGAAGAACAGCAACAGCATCTTAAAATTTATTAATAAATGTTCATAATAATCATAAAGAATTAAAGTGATAATTTTCAAGTTTTTTAAAATTCAAAGAGTATCGGTTCTATTTAGGTGAGTTCATTTCCCCCCAACTATTATTTATAAGTAGACATTTAAAAGTTATACTAGATAATAAATTATTATTAGTATTTCACAGGGATTTTTCTTTTTTACTCTTTTCTCACTCTATACATTCTCTCAGAAATGTCTCCCAATTTTTATGTCTCCAGCTGTTATTTCTATACCAGTGATTTCCACATCTTATCAACAGACCAGTATTTCCAGCTACCTTCTGGGAAGCTCAATTTTGGAGGTCCTACAGGAATTTTAAATACTAAATATCCCCCTTATGTGTTCCCTTTTGTATCCCTTACCTCAAATATTGACTTTCCTTCTTCTTTAGTCTCCAAAGCTAGATACCTTGGGATTCTCTTTGAGTTTTCCTCTCCCATTTTCTTCTCTCATATATTTATTACTTCTCTTATAAACAAATCCTGTTAATGTTGATGTCCTACCTACTTCTTAATAGTGTTCTTATCTCACCATACTCATTCTCACTGTTATTCAACCTTCATCAGCCCTTAGTACTATTCTTTGTGGCCCCCTTGTTTCCAGCACCTGCACTTTGTTGCTTCCTCCTTCACACTGTAGACAAAAGTTTCCTTCTGAAATGTCACTTACTCTCTACTTCATCCTCTCTCCTAGTCCCTTCATATACAATGTATAATTTCATAGATATTTGTTTTATCTATTGCTTCATTTTATCCACCTGAAGTGAATTTTCATGTCTTTTCCAAAGTCTTAGTTGTTCTCTACACTATTCCCCATATCATTTTCTCAAATATACTAGGGCTGTCCAAGAAAAATATAACATGAGCTACATGTGTAACTTTCTAGTAACCATACTACAAAAAGTAAAAAGAAACAAGAAATAATTTTAATAATATATTTGAATTTAACACAATACATCAAAATATTATCATGTCAGCATGTATCCAGTTTAAACCTTTTGAGATATTTTAGTGTTTTTTCATACTCTCTTCAAAATGTGGTATGTATTTTGCACTGACAGCGTATCAACTCAGACATTATATTTTAATTGGAAATACTTGATCTGCATTTAGACTTTATAAAATATTTAGTTAAAAATTAGATTCTCGTAATACCCAAATGTTACAAACTTATAAATTTTCCAATAATTATAGATTATTGGTTTTCCATTTAAATTTAAATGAAACAAAATTAAAAATTCAGTTTTTTAGTCTCACTAGCCTCATTTCAAGTGCTCACTAGTCACATATGGCTTAATGGCTATCATATTGCACAATGCAGCTCTACCCAATTATTCAACAAATATTTACTATACTGCATATTAGTCAATTAGCTTTGCTAGGTACTTTTTATAAATTGAATCATACGAATTGCTAATATCTGGATTTTTTCATGTATAAAATAGCAATTTCACATGAATCAATTATATTGTATTATCCTTTATACTTGAAGGCAGAAACCATGTCTTATTCTTTTTATAAATACCAGTGTACAGTAGGGAATTTTTTAAATGTTTAAAATTAACGCTGTATATGAATTTTTTTAATTTATACTTCCTACTAAAATACAAGATTTTCCATGTCTTCTATATTTAAAATAAGTTTTAATTAGTCAAAATTGAGAAAACAAATTTTTGGAGAAAGTAGAAGTCTTAATGACTTTGAAATTTATCATTTAAATGAAAGCTAGAACAAATGTGCATGAAAATTAAAGTAATTCAAAGAAAGCTATAAACAATTATTCATTAGGATTATGTAAAGTATGTACATAAATTTGGAGTAGGTGGTTACTAGTAATAAAAGAGAAGTGTTTGAATGTCTTTTATAAATTCTTTTCTAAAACGAATCTAGGAAAATTATTTGCACCCTAGTGTTGAGTCTTAGAAACCTAGGACTCTCTTTTATTTTTGAAGACCTACGCAGGAATTTTATATCAGTTTTTGAATGCTGAATAGTCTTTCCCATCACTCAACAATATTTCCCAGCAAAATCTAGATTTATCACCTAATAGTTCCTTTTAAATGTCTAGTAAATGCCATCTGTTCCTTTTTTAAATTAAATATTTATGTATAAAATAAAAACCATATTAAATGGAAAAAGGAAAAATTTTAAAATTCTCACCACAAATATATAATAAGCTTTTTATTTTTTATTTTCCTTTTTGATTTTGTATTTATGTGTACCTAATTGTCTGTGGGAATTTGTGTTCCATTTTTATCATAGTTACTTTATAAATATTTTCAATGCTATGTAATCTCTGCAATTAAAGTTATCAATAACTAATATCGATATATAGCATTATATTAATGTCAGATGTACAACAATGATTTGATATTTGTATATATTACAAAATAATTACTGCAATAAGTCTAGTTAACATCTATCACTAGACACAGTTACAATTTTTTTCTTATGATTAGAATTTTTAAGATCTCTTTTAGCAACTTTCAAATATATAGTATGATATTATTTACTATAGTCACCATGCTGTAAATTACATCCCCATTACTTATTTATTTTATAATTTAAGTATTAATATTTTTATGTCTGCCACCCATATATATTTCCAACTTGTTCTTTAAAATACTTTTACTGATTTACAATTTCAACAATATATCAGTTTTCGGCTACTTTTGTTTTTTGAATTCATGTTTTAGGTACATTTAACTATATGTTACTTAAGTATATAATGAAAGACATGAACAATAATTTTAGTCTCCAAAAACAATAAAGATACATAGAAATATTTTGAAATGGTAATAATATTTCTATAATACTACAAAATAAGACCAAGTCTCACAATGTAGGAAAAATACCAGATACAAAGTTTTTAGTAATCTATTCATATCTAAAATAAGAAAATGGTTTCCATTCTCCCATTCATCTAATATACCATTAAAAGATCTAGAGTGCCTTGAAATAACATTTTTAAATACAAAAAGAAATAACATAACCAAACAAAATATATTCTATTTATTTATTATTGCTTATTTATTAGATTTTATTCTATGTCTGTACCTCATTCTTATTTTGACTCGCTTTTCTTTGATATTAATGAAATTGAATGTCTTCCATTGCCTTTTTTACTATTTGTACTTCGTGTGTAAATTGTGTGAACTTTGTTATTTGTATATTGGGGTAAAACTACAAACTCTTCCTAAATATAGGGATTTCCTCTCTTTGCAAATGTTTTCCTAATGTCATAATTCTTTTTATATAGCTTTATTAAATTTTATTATTTATTAAATTTTATTAGAGACTTTTTGAGTTGTTAAATCTGACCATTTTTACCTTTCATGTGTATCGTTTCAATACTTGTCTTTCTTCTATAGTATTGATAGTCTTTGGGAGGTTTTTTTCTATTGTTTTTTCTATTTTCTTTTTATCCTTCATTGTGGAATCCATGTGTAGTTGCGTTGGTATAAGCTGGAGATTGGTATTTGGTTTAAAGTAATTAAATTTTCTCCTTATTGCTACCAGTTCTTTCAATAACAACTATTGAATAGTGGTTTTTTTATTCTTATTTCATAATGGCTATTATTTAGTGAGTTCTGTTATTTAATTTTTTTATAATACACCATGATATCTGATCAGACGAGCTGCCTTGCTCTTCTCTATAAAAGAATATTCTTTCATAGTCTCACGCATTAATTTTTCCAAATTAATTTCAGAAGAGTTTACTTCTCCCTTTTATTATCTAATTCATGTTATACTATATAGAATAGTTTATGGCCAGCTTCTCTTACGAACTTTTATGTTTCTGTATTTACTCCACCTTCAAGAATCTTTGTTCTCAAAAGCACAATCTTTTGTTCTTCATTTTCCTCCCCATTTTTTTTTTTAGGGAGTAGATGTTACTATGTCTCTTTGTCAAATAGCCCTCATCCTCCAAAGTAATGGTTAATTAAAATATACCCTCCTACATTCACTCGCCACTCCACCTCAGACAAAGAACAAATTCCTATATTGAAACATAACTGACGTTTTCAGTATTTTTAGTGTTTAATTGAATTTCCAGGAAATTGAGCTTTTCATTTCTTGCAAATAATTGTTTAATCTATATGTATTAGTGAACATATAAAATGAATATCAGAACTCAAGGGAACAAATAACATCTGGTATTTATATTATTGCATGTTTAAGTAGAAGGAAAGGGAAAGAAGCATAGGGGTGGGCCAGGGAATAAAGGAATCTAGGATGCCCTGGTCAAAACTATATGCACTTAGAATACAATTTCTTATAAAGACAGCAGGATGGAGAAAATTCAGAATTCAAAGACTGCACATCCCAAGGGTACAGGCAATATAGTTCCTAACAAATTGTCCTGAGAAATGTTTACCAAATCTGTGAGCAATGTGGCTACCAAGACACTCTTATAGAAACATGAAACAGACAGGAAAACAGGCACAAGTAATTGAGTCTTGCTTTCTTATTATTTATTCATTTAACAAATGTTAATTACATTTCTCAAATATCCCTGCTTCATCTTTATGTATTCATGCCCCTTTTTAATATTCCTGAACGTTGATCCTGCTGGCCTTATAAGTGAACAGATCAAAATGTGACACATTATTATAACACTAATCCAAGGATAAACACTATCATAAAATTAATCCAGAACTCATAATGCACTAGTTGCACTGATTCTTTTTAGTAAGAAAAAAGAGATAACTTCCATTCTTTTTATAAATGACTCTTTTCTGACTATTTTTCTCTGAAAGTGGTACAAAAAAAGTGGTTAAGGTCAGTGTAATAATTCAGCCAAAACTGTCTTTCTGACATTTGAAATAATGTGCTATCTTTTAGCACAAGTTGTTACATTTTTGTTTCTCTAATTTTGCCACTGAATTTTAATACTTTGGGATTTTTCACTAGCTGCTTTGCAGTTAGGTCTCATGGAAGGAGAAATCAGTGACTTGCTTCGGGGGATATATCAAGTTCAAACTCCTCAAAAAGGAACAGATGATGACAATGTACATATTGAAGAAGACGGGTACATTAAACAGAAGGAAATTGATTCAGATGATATCTGCCCTATTTGTCAAGAAGCACTTTTAGAGAAAAAGCTTCCTGTCACCTTTTGCAGGTGAGTTTTTGGGGGGTGGGGGGGTGGGGGGGAAGAGGGTATCTAGAAACTTAGAAAAAAATTCTAATTTAATATGTTTGTAACTGATTATGTTGAGACATGTTGGTGGAGAAACAATATCTATTTAAACAATTATATTTAAATTGGTCTTTTTTTGTTTCCTAACATATATGTTGTGAGAGGTCTTGTTCTTATTCTGAATATATCTAGGCTACATTTTAAAGAATGAGAATTAAAACATAACCACTTTATTCCCCTTTTCATTTTGTTATTAAAATAGAATAATTTTCATATTTTTGTTTTAACATAAATAAATGCCACGATTTAGAGTAGCTACAAAGAGTTCTCTGAAAGTAAACATTATTTTACTTTAAAATGATAAAAATTCTTTGTTTCTATTTTTAAATCTAAATAACTCAAAATTTAATGCAAATGTTTATTGAGAGTGTCACTCAACTATTTTTCAAGGCACTATAAAGTTGAACTTGGAAAATATGGAAAACCATTAGCTATTGAACTTTTTCATTCTTTTTTTCTCCTGATTATTTCTCAAATTTTTCTAAAATCTGCATTTTAGTTTTTCATAACACTGTTTTTATTGAGTATTTTAAAATTATTAACTATTCCCCAAAACATTATTTTTCTCAGCAGGCATTTGTTGAGTACTATCACATATTGTATGATTTCTAGAAAAATAAGGCTACATCCCTGCTCTCAGTGATGCTTTTAATTTAAAAAGTAGTAATTATTGTTATAAATTTCCTTTTTATTAAGACTATATGCATTCTCACTCTACAAATGAAAAATACTTTAATGATGCAAAATCTTTACCACCATTTCATTGGCACGGGGAAATTTGTTTGGAATTCTGATGTACTAAATTAAAGATACTAGATTAGATGAATAAGATAAGATAAGGTATGTACTTATGTATGTAATCAAGCTATATCTAGAAAATCAGAATCTATTTTTATGGGAAATAAATATGGTAGCAGAGAAAATTTTATTTATGTAGGTATATATAACTGCATGTTCAAATGGTAACCTTGTATTTTATTTCTAACAGATTTGGCTGTGGCAATAGTATTCATATAAAATGCATGAAGATCTTAGCTAATTATCAGGATACAATATCAAATACTTCCATGTTGAAATGTCCTCTGTGTAGGAAAGAATTTGCACCGTTAAAACTTATTTTAGAGGAATTCAAGAACTCTAGCAAACTTGTGACTTTAGCTGAGAAAGAGAGACTGGACAAACACCTTGGAATTCCCTGCAATAACTGTAAACAATTTCCAATTGAGGGGAAGTGTTATAAGTAAGTATTATCAGGAAAATTATGAATATGTATTCTAACTTTTTTTTAAGTTAGGAAACTTGGAGCATTATGGTACCAGTCATCTAGACTGTGTTCTTTCTTTCCTCCTTTATATAGTGTATTTGCCTTAGTTGTTGGCTGCTTATTTAGAATTTACAAACTGGTGATCTATGTCAGCCTAGTACCTCAGAACTGCAAATGTTTTATTTTCTTCACTTACACAAAGGAATTGGCTTTGCACTCCAGTCTAGATTGTGTCTGAAGTAGTATCCTGTCCTGGAAGCTCTGGACATAGGCTTTGTTGATTTGTCCTAGATGAGTTTCCAAGCTCAGAGCCCTGCTAGATGGACTTCTCACTCTCTAATTTTCTTTGAACCACCAATGAAATCATTGCCAAAAACCCAGGATTGAGCTAAAGGGACATGGACTAGATTGACTGAATGTTTGAGTTCCCCAAATTGCAGCAAGTGCATGTTTTGTTTTCTTTTGTATCTTATACCTCAACAACAAGATATTTATTAGAGAAAACAATTTCCATTACTTTTGTGACTAATCTTCAAACATAAAACATCAATTAATAGCTCTGCTCAGGAAATTATGCTTTCTTAATTAAAATTTTAGGTTGACTGTATGTTAAGAAGAAAATATTTTGTTTAATCTTAATTTTTTTTCTAAAATGCATAAGTTTACATTTCAGTCTTCCCAGAATTACACTGAGTTCAATTATTTTTTTAAAACCCTCTTATCAAACCATAAAACTATTTTTATCACCCCCAACAGTGAATGATATCTTTCTCCTTTGAATTCATTTAGTTCTTTCTTTATTCTATGTAACACATAGAAGAAAATCAACTATATCACCATTAGCAAAAGTCCTTATTGGAACACAGCTAGCCTGAGAAGGCTACAAAGGAGCATTTTCATTTGTGGAAGAAGGACAGAATTTTTTTTAAGATTTGTACTAAAATATAGCTAACATACAATATTGTATTAGTTTCAGGTACATACCATAGTTATTCAACATTTATATACCTAAAGAAGTGATCACCATGATATGTCCAGCAATCATCTGACACTGTACAACGCTATCACATTATTATTAACTGTATTCCTTATGCTGTACATTACATTGATTTGTTTTATACCTAGAAATCTGAACTTCTTATTCCTCTTCACCTTTTCCCCCTTTTTTAAGTTTTTCATTTACAATTGACATTTAATATTTTATATTAATTTTGAGTGTAGAGCATAATGATTAGAAATTTATGTAATTTATGAAGTGATTCCCCTGATTAGTACTCACCTGGCACCATACAGAGTAATTATCATATTATTGACTATATTCCCTATGCTTTACTTTACGTCCCCATGACTATTTTGTAACTACCAATTTGTACTTATTAATCAAGAAAGGCAGAATTTTTACAGAGGTTTAGCAGGAGGTATTCAGTTAGTTTTAGGAATGTTGGTTAAAGAGGGTTCTAAAAAAATGAAAATCTTGATATGTGGCATTAGCAGCCATTGTTTGGGCAATTTAAATTTTTCAAGAGGTTTGGGTAAGAACAACAATGGGCTAAGGTAACACATGAAAAGGGGGGTTGGGAAGAACAGCCGCGGAGGACAAGGGTATATGAAAGCCACAGTGTAAACTTCTCGGTCCTTATAGTCATGGGTTCCTCACATGGTTAATGTGTGGCTTTGGTAGATTATCTCAATTCTTGCTTTTAAATATTTTGTTGATGACAATATACTCCTCTGTCATGCTGAGCTTTCTGACTGCTCTTTCAGTTCTCATGGATGCTGCTTCTTCTACCTCTCAATATAGGCATTCCCCACTGTTCTGGTCCCTGCACTCTCCTTTGAGAACAACTTCTCTATGAGTTTGGCTCACAATTACTCATGTCTATATCCATCCTTTTTTATAAATTAAAAAATGAATTTCTAACATTTGTGACTTTACCACCTTCCATTCTCTCAAATACTAACATTTCAGTCATTAGTTTAAAAAACTATTTTCAGTAGTTTTTGGAATAGATTGAGTAGAAAACAAGATAAACTTAGAAAGCTTTCAGTTCCTTAGAGTTTCACAATATAGCTACATATCTTTTAAGTTAACTCTAAAAATAACATAGATATGTTAAAATATAAAAATGCTTAACTTTTGCTAGCCCAGCATAATTTGATGCACCAAATTAACTGCATCACTGCTCCGATCGATTGATGTTAATTATTAAGAATCTTCTCTGTGTGTATAAATAGTAATAATGAATAAATTAGCACTTGCTGCTTCTAAGATGTCTGAAGGACCTATTTTCCCAGATTTATCATGGAAATAGTCTTCTAAATCTTAGATAACTTGACTAATAAAATAAGTTTATTTGCTCAGAACATTATTTTATTGGTGAGCATTGCTGCAAGAAAATTAAAATTTTTTGCTTGTAGCAAAATTTTTATAAATGATATTGTTTGAGATTAAGCTTTTATGAAAAGTGAAGTTTGTTTTAAATTTGTCGATAGTTTTTATTGATATATATTTATATTTTATTGATATTTTATTGATAGATAGATATATATATACCTTTTCCAATTTTGTGAGTAAAGAGTGGGAATAAAAATAATTCCCGTATTCAAGATGTATTTTTCTAAGTATAACTCTAACATTTATGAAACAATTTGAAAATACTGGATAATCAAATGATAGACTATCTAATATAGGCTGTATATTCTATAAGAATTTAGAAAAAGATAAAATAAAAGCTAAGGTACTCCAGGAAGACATCATGGAAGGGATGTGTGGTAGGCAAAATAACACCCTCACAAATATGTCCACATCCTCATTCCTGGAATCACTGTATCTGGGCCCAGTATAATCCCAAGAGTTCTTAAAAGTGGAAGAGGGAAACAAAGAGAATCAGAGGGAAATGTGACCATGTAAGAAAGGCACAGAGAGATGCAGCATTGCTTGCTTTTAGAATGGAGGAAAGGGTCACAAGCTAAGCTAAGGAAGGGGAGGACAAAATGGAAAGGGCAAGGAAAGAGGTCTTCTCAAGACCATTCAAAAAGAAATGCAGCATTGCAAACCTCTTCATTTTAGCCCATTGAGACCCATGTCAGACTTCTGCCTTACAAAACAATTAAATAATAAATAGTATTGTTTAAGATGTTAAATTCGATGTACCTTTTGACAATAGAGGAAACTAATACGGGATGACAGTTAACATGGGCCTTGTCATATCTGCATAGTTCCCAGGGAAGTTTGGCCAGAAATTTTCATCAAAACACATTAAAATAATTTGATTTTTTTCTTGTATGTTTTGATGTTTTGCATTTTTAGGTGCACCCAATGTATAGAATTTCACTTATGCCAGGAATGTTTTGATACCTGCTGCCATCATTGTCACCCATTTACTTTTCGTGAGGTACAGTATTCATCTTGAATTTCGTATAGTGTTTGTATTTGTCCTATTGTAAATTTAAGTAAAATAAATCTGAGAATAATAAGAATAGATAACATTCTGGAATAGAGTTAACTGAGTTTTAATAACAACCAAAGACCATAGTTTTTGAAGAACGTCCCTTTTTCACAGGGACGTACAAGGCAATCCATTCTTACATTGGTAATTTATAAAATCCAACACAATAACAAACATCTGATAACATTTTACATAAATTATAAGGACAGCCATCAAACTTTAAAATTCATTTTTAAAAAAGACATTACAAATTGACTTGCTACAGTATTATGTTATTGATATATAGCCTATTAATTTTAATCCACAAAATAAAAATTTCCATAATTTGCAAAGTAACATTCACTTTTTACCTATTACAGAAGAGAAATCAAAGATGGAAATCACTAGAAAAAAGACCAGATGAAACTGTAAAATGCATAGATATTCAAAATGAGATAGAAGAAAAGATGCCACATTTTCAAGAAAAGCAAGGGTGAGATTCTCAGTAAAATTTACATTTCTTGTATGACTTGGGAAACATAATTTTTCAGTTAGATAAGTTTTATTCATTCCTTTATTCAATAAATATATATTGAAGACTTATTATATACTAGGTGACATTATATTATGCAAGTGAAGAGCAAGGCTCTTGAGTCAGACTGCCTAAATCCAGTCCTAGTACGAGCTGGCTGTGTGACTTTGGGGCAAGTTCACTTCTCTCTGCCTCATTTTATCCATATTTAAAATAGGAATAATTATAACACCAGCCTCAGAGGGATTTTGTGAGTATGAAATGAATAAATACACATAGTAAATATTCAAATAATGTTATCTATAATTATTATCAATTCTACTAGGTAATAGGGATATAGTAATTTCCTCAGTAAGTAAATGATCATCTAAATAAATGTAAAACTAAAACTGGCATAAGTTATATTTAAAAAATACAGGGTGATTTGAGATTTGCTTTGAAGTAACTGAGAAGGAAGAAGGAAGTCGCTCTTGCCGCATTCCCCCTCTCCTCCACACTAAGGAAGAAAAGTGCTGAGCGGATTGATTGCATTTCAGAACACAGATTGGACTGTTTACTAGTGGGCAGGCCTCCAGACCTTTTGCCATACTCCTTGTAAATTAAAGAAAATTAAAGTTGCTGTTTATTATTAACATATTAGGCATATTATAAAATATATACAAAATATCATTTTTAAAGGATGAGCTAAAATTGAAATAATTTTTTAAAAATATTTTTAGTGAATTAACCAAACAAAAATTGTGCTTGTTCATATGTATATACACACACACGTGCGTGCGCGCACACACATATATATACATATACGTGTGTGTGTGTGTGTGTGTGTGTGTATGTTTCTGTCCAACCCAGTGGATATTTAGCCTATGCCCTGTGGAGCTGTTGTGGAGAATTTTATGCCTTATAGGTATAAAATGAGCCTATACAAAGACTCTTCACCTCCTTTTGCCCTAGCCCTGGCTAGGTATCACACTTCAACCTATTAGAATGATAAATTGTATAACTAAGGGTTTAGGAGATTTGGCTGGGAGGCAAGAGAACATTAGGGGTAGAAGGACATTCTAGGCAGAGAAAGTATAACAAATAAAAGGAATTTCAAGATTTTAAAAATGTGGTTAACCTAAAAGAATAAAAATACTCAGGGTATTTTTTTTTAGTGGACAATTAGATGACCTTGGTAAAAGCAGTTTCTGTAGCATGATGGAAGTATATCTGTGGAATAAAGAGAAGTATGAGCTTTTCTGAAAAATATATATGAACTTTTTCTGAATGACTTTTGAACAATAGGAATGCATCTAATCTTTCAGGCAAGCTTTTGTTTTTAAATGTTTTTTCTGTCTTATCAGTTGCTAATGACATCAAATAGCAGTTAATTTACATTGTATGATCTTAATTATGGCGATTGGTGCTTTTAGAGTTATATTAACATGGTCGAACAATACTGACATCATAAGTATATACTGTAAGGGAATATGAGTTTTTTCATGTATAATGATCTACCAATTTATCATAGTAGCCTGAAATATTTAATGTGGCTTACTGTGAACCTTACTTCCTACAAGGTGGCAGAGTAAATTGTGTTATATTTTTCTAAAAACAAGCCTAAATGTTAGCTCAGACTGAAATAACTTGAGTATATCAAAATTTTGTTCTGGTTTCATTGACATTAAAAAATGCAAATCAAAAAAATTCAGGTTAGTATTTTTATTTTAAATGACTAAATTTGTTTTTTTATGAAATCAATGTTCAGAATCAACATAGTAGTTTTTAAACAATATAATGTATGAGATTTATTATCTTCAGTTCAAGAAAAAAGTGGGTTCCTTTGCATTATTTATATCGAGGTTTTTACCTACACTATTGATTACTTCCTGATCTGTAATCTCATATGAACATTCATGTCTCTGCTTACTCTCATTCAGCCAGGTTCACACACCAAAACCCGTGGTAAAGTCACTGCCTCTCTTACTGATCACAAAGAATAGTAAGCTGCTTGCTCCAGGCTACCAGTGTCGCCTTTGTTTGAAGGAATTTTGCCTTGGTCAATACACAAGATTGCTACCATGTTCTCACAAGGTAGAAGTCATATTATTTTAGTTTGACTTTCTCTGTAGGGCCAGTTTTCACAAATGACATGACAATTTAAATCTCTTCTTTCACTTTTTAGTTTTGTTATTTACAGAAATGTTCAAATTGAACAGTATATGCAGAGGAGCTGCAGCAGAAACTATTGAAAAGGCAGCTTTGCTCCCTAAATGTGGATTCCTAATTGTTTAGAACTCATTTCTGTATATACAATCTAGGAAAGATAAAATGGCCCTTGAAGTTAGATGACTTTATCTAGTTATCTGTAAAAAGAAAAAGCTTAAGAATACTAACTTTTTAACGTATTTTTGTGATTCTTTGGATGAGACATATGCTTAATTTGACATAGTCAATTATTATTTCAAATGAACTCACTGAAATCAAAGTCTAATATTACTTGATCACTATGTAGTTGGTAACAGGGTTTTTAATGAAATCAAGTTATCTCAATAAAAAACATGTATAGTTTTAGAGTCGCCCTTACTTAAAATTAAAATGTTTAATAGTTTTTCTTCCGAAGAATGTAATTTATTATTTTATATGCTACCATCATCAGATCAATTTTCAGTTCTAGTTGGTTATGACTTTTTTATTATTTAATTTTATTCATTAGCAATAACAAAATTAATAGTTTGAATAAGCAATTAGTTTTTAATGAAATTACAAAAATGATATCCATAGATTTTCCATTTTAATGTTGAAAGTGGACATTAGTCCTTAATTATATTTTTAAGAACTATTTCAAAATATTTTCATAAAACTTGGTAAATTATTATTACCTTCCATTTTTGCTAGCTTTAATAGTAATAATGAAACTGGAAAAATTTTGTGTAGATAATATACATTATATACAAGATAATCTTATCTCTGATTAATTTATAACCTTTTTTTTTTTTAAGTTTCATAGGAAATGTATTGACAGTTGGTTATTCCACAAGTGCAATTCATGCCCTGTTGATGGACAAGTTATATATAACCCATTAATCTGGAAAGATACAGCAGTGAATGGACATATACATCACTCTGTTTCAAACACAGACATCATTCATCTGTCAAAACAGGAAGAACCAGGACTTTTTATTCCTGGTACTGGATTAATCTTAAAACAAAATAGACCTGGAATGTTACCCAGCATACCTCATCATAATTCTGATAAGTCGAATACACCACAAAGTTCAACAGATACTTATCAAAATAAAACAACAGATGATCTATACTCTATCAAATTAGATGATTCAAATTCAAGAAAACTAATCTATGAATATAAAATTAGCCAACATTTCCCCAGGTATCTTCAAGATTTACCCACTGGATCCTTTGGAAAAATATCATCTCAAACATTTCTTCCTTCTATTGCTCACAAGAATATTATATGTCCCACTGGGATGGAAAGCCCATGTATCAATGAAAATTACCACACTGATCAAAGCCAGAAGATGACCAAAGGCTGTAAACCTATTAACCACAATCAAAAGAAGATTCTTGGTACTAAAATAAGAGAGGAAAACAGTAGATCAAATACTTTACTTCCAGAAGACTTAAATCTTATTGTGAATTGGGGTACAACTAAACTTAGTTTGTCTAAAAGGTATAATAATTGTATGGGAAAAATTAGGCAAAAATATAGTCATCTATCAAGAAGGCCTATATCTTACCCTTTAAATACAAAAACTGAGCTATCTTTAATATTGAAAGGAGTTCAGTTATGAAAATATATTTTTGACTAATATTGGCATTTTTTAATATTTGGATATTGAACATAAAATGTTTTATTTGTAGAACATAAAAAAACACTATATACTCTTGACAAATGTGTATCAAATTCTCTGTTCATTTTGCCTACTTGTCTATGAATAACTAACTACACTTAAAGGAAATTACCCTGACTCCTTAGAAAACTGAAAGCATTATATGTCTTGATGAGTATGTTCAGGATGTTATGAATTATGAATAATTTTTAGAACTTTTATATCTGATTTCATACTGATTAAAGTAATTATTAATTAAGGAAACAGATTTTCCTCGCATTGAATCACTGTTTTTAAACATTCCACTTGATAACATGCAGGGATTCTTTCTAAGTACTTGTGTATTTTTTACATTAACTTATAATGGTAATCACCACAAATCTACAAGAAAATCCAGGTGATTTTCTTATTTCGTTAAAGTAGTTTTTTATACATAAAATGAAAATAAAATATATCTTTAATACTATAAGCTATGCCAAGTTTCTAACGGTTGTACTGTTTTATTTTTAAGATGAGTATAAGTGCTACCCAATTTCTTGATACAATCAGTAGTAAATGGATCTGTTTTTTAAACCAGTTCTATTTCTAAAATGTTCATTTGAAAAATATAATGCTTAGATTCTGTTTATTTTTAAATTCTATGGCTCAGTAGCTTTTCAATCTTTTAAAAAACATTGATGACTTTATTGGTTTTGTTATCTATAACAAAGGAAAAAACCTCACGATTTTTTTTTTTTTGCCATGGTTGTAATAGAATACATAATTTGTTCTATGAAACAAATCATGAAGACATCAAGCAGAGAAAGTTCTTTGAAAATAACATTTCAATTTAAAGAAATGATTAATTAAATTGAGGTTAATCACAAAAGAAAGTAATTACTAAAATGTAGTTCAGAAACAGTAATTGAGAGTTAATTAGAACATGAGCTGCATTTTAAAAATGAATAGAAAGTTTGGCTTGTTTCCAATATATAAATGGAGGGTCCAATATATTTGTCAGCAATTCAAGATTGTATCAGCCTTTTTGGGGGGTGGGGGGCAAGGTAGAGTGAAGAAAACTGCAAATTAATTTTCCAATTAATCAAATGTTACTTATCTTCTAATAGATACTGTGCTCTCCTTTTTAAAAGAATTCTTCAAAAAATAAGTATAGAAAATGCTTTGAAAAGCAAAACATGAAAGAGCTGTAAAAGAAAAATAATAAATTGGGATACTGGTAGAGAAAAGTAATAATGCTGTAAAATTTATTTTTCAGTTTAAGATGTTTAGATAGTATTTCTATACTAGTCAAACTTATTAATGACCATTCTGTAGTTATTTTAGTTTCACTATTGCAGTAGTATACGATGTACAAAATATTCCACCTATGATTACAAAAGGAGAACAGATATCAATTGCTAGTATAACAATTTCTGAACAAGATTTGCCCAGAAAGAGTTGAGTATATGAATTAGGTGACTCAGTGTGGATGCAGTTAAATAGTTATTGAGTTTGTTATTTATTAGACACATATCACAAAAAGTACATAATTTCTAAAAATATAGACCATTCTGTTTATAAGAAAGAAGAAATGGCCTGAGATTGGCAAAATACAGATTCAAGGGCAGTGGTAAGTGGCCTGGCAGGCTGGTCAGGGGCCTAAAAGAAGAAAAACTGAAAAATTGCAAACAGGTTAAGTGTGGATGGACATATGGAAAGGTACTGCCGAAAGCTTCACCCACTGGGAGAATTTTTTCTCACCACCATCTTTTAAGGCTATTCCTAGTAAGGCTATAGGAGAGTTAGCCATCCATTTTTAATTTACACACATATACACATCTGACACATCCAAAAACCAAACTCAGGTTTTTTTCTGTCAGATTGTCATAGGTATAAGCCAAAGGAGGTGCAATATTTTAACATTACCCAGCTTTGGCAAATGATAACATAGAGGTCTGGGCTCTCTGCTCATGAACCTTACCTTCTGATACTACTCATGCTGTTGTATATGCCAATTCCATATTATGATGAATTGCTGCTGGGCCTAACCAACTTTATGACATGATGTATCTGACAGACCCCAGCTCTTGATAGACATTTGCGGATACATGATCAATTAATCTGTGTCCCGTGGTTAGGGGCTTCATTTCTACCATGGCAGGCCATGAGTTGTTTTTCCAAAGGTAAATTTCATGTTCCAAAACCTCAAGAACATACATGCAATTCCCCCACTTGGGCTTGCCACAACACCCACATTTCACCTTTATCCATCACCAGTACCTCTAATACCATAGGGTCTTGCATTCACCATATCAATGGCTTTATATCATGTACCTGAGGACATGTTAATGATCTCTAGCAAAAACATCACATCTGACACAGTCACTGCAATTGAGATTACTATTTCATTGAGTTTGTAGTTGCAGTAGTCTGCTGTCATATTTCCAAGATCCTTCTGGTTTTTGCAAGGGCCATAATGGTGAATTAAATGGAAATTTGATAAAGACCAACACCCCTGCGTAGTCTAGATTCTTAAGGGTGATACTAATTAGTCAGTATGTTATTCTCAATTATACTTCCAGAGACTGGAGAAATAACTGCTGGATGTGGAGCATCACAGGCCAAATGTTTCTCAGGACTCGATTTATTATCTATCCTCCATATGCCCCAATTCTAATAGAGGGACCATAATAGTGCTTCAAGTTTCTGGGTATTGCTATACATTCAGACGGTGTCCAAAAGTCCTTGAAATGTTTGGGTATTTCCCTTTCCCCAATCCATAGTACTGGGGTGGCCAACTCATTCTAGTTAACTCAGGACTTTCCAATTAAAAAAAAAAGTCCCATGTTCCAAGAAGCCCCTGAGTTCTGAGAAAACTGGGATGATTGCCCGCTATAATAGTTACCAAGTAAATGACTTTGGGGGAAGGAGTGGGAAAATCATTACTGGGTGTGCTGTGCTATTGCTATTTCCTTCCTATTAGGGACTTGGTTGCCTCTTCAGTCAGTGGATTCTGGGTCGGAAGACTACCTCGGATCCAGAAACTTAGCACTGGATTGTAACTTTTAATTAGGACGATTGGCCTTGGCCTTTTGGTCATCCATTCTCCATTCTTATGATGATAATGCAAGCTGAACAGAATACCTTTATTGGATTCCCATCTATTATGCCCCTAGTGGCACTCTAAGTAACCATTTCCATCCCTTGGTTTGGGCCTCCTGGCTGCTACTCTGACCCTGCCACTTATTACTATAATTTCATCTACCTAGATTTTGGCAATTAAATGCTAACACCTGGCCTTTATTTGGATCCAATCATGCTCATGGCTATCACTGAGACTAGTAATCAGATCCTCTCCTCCTGTCAGCCCTGGGTTACAGGTGAGTGGAGGGCGAATGAGCGAAGCTTCATCTGTATTTGCAGCAGCTCCCCAGCACTAGCATCACCACCTCAGCTCCACCTCATATCATTAGATTCTCATAGGAGCACTGGTCCATGGTGCCATAAAGGTTCGGGACCACTGTTCTTTAGGATATTAGCCCTTATTTGCACTAGCCTATCCTTGGTTGACTTACGCTGTGACTTAACCTAATTATATGCCTAGGGGTCATAACAGAAGGTAAAGGCAGACCCTCAATGAGGACACATGATATTTTGTGGGGAGAGGACTCTGCAGTACCTGAAAAGCAAGGGGGGATGGGCAGACTAGCCCTTAAGAGAAAGGGTTGACTCACTTCTGCATTTTCAGAGTTCAGAAATGTCTGAGAATTCAAACTGTTCGGTCATATACCCAGATGTTCTCGTCCCAAAAATTAAGATCCCATTTTTTTCCAAACAGGCCTGATCTCGTCATAACTAACCTGCTTTGGTTGGGCATTTAACCTTAACTGGAGCTCTACCACTCCATTATCTCCTAATCTTCAGCTTCCTCTGCCTTCCTGCTGCAGGAGAGTGTTTTTGCAAGCTATCAAGAAGATCTGTTGGCTTTACTGCTTAGTATTCAGTTGCCCACACCTTTTCATCATCTTTTTCTAGGGTAGTAATGGGCTTAACAATATCCATCCATTGACATTGTCCTTATAGTTATCTTCCCCAGTACTTCTCAAAGGTCCGATACTTTACACCAGCTGATGCATACTCCCCTCCCCCAGTGGTATTCCATCATAACTCACCAATGAAGAGAATTTTAGTAATTGGATATCCACGTTATACCCACGGGTGTCTGTTTCACTTACCAATGACAAGGTCTCATTGACCCCTGGGCTGAAAATGATCCACCTTCCAAACCCTAATTTGTCACCTACTTTTCTCAGACCCCTCCATTACCAACAGGCATAGGTTATTTCTTCCAAAAGCAAATGTTTAAATAGAATTTGATGTGCAAGGTATTTATTAAGCATTAACACCTGTGAAAAAGAAGCCCCTGATCCTGTCCTTATTTAAATTTTGGTATTTTGTTCATCATTTCTCCTTACCCGATTCCCCTCCCTGGGGGAAGAAAACCAAATTTGGCAGAAGAAGTAGAACTGTAAAGCCTTGGTCATACTCCTGTCACAATCAATCATGGGTTGTAGGTCATTCCAGGGAGGGTGCGCCATCGGCCTCGGTAGTGCTCTGCAGCTGAGGCAGACTCTGAAGAAGCTGGAAGCTGCAGGCTGTCCACTGATCACACTCCCAGCAGCCACAGCCACAAGTTCTTCCATGAAGGCTGATATGGGTCACACGTTTCCTGTTTACTGTAAGTATAGAAGGAGAAAATTATGGAATTAAAGGAACACCAAGAAGGTAATTGGTAAGAGAAAGGAGGGAAAAAGAAGTCTAAAATAATTATTTTTGTAGTAGATATTACTTAGATGAAAGAACCAATACCTGGTTTTTTTGTTTGTTTGTTTTTTTCTGAGTATTTGGGAAACTACACTTCCCAGCCCCACTGTAGTCAGGTAAAGCTCTGTGACTAGCTCATATGAATGTAAATGTGAGAA